CCTTTTCGGGCCGGCGGGCGGCGAGCGCAGCGCGGCGGGGCCGTCGGCATGGCTGTGTCCTGGAGGAGCTGGCTGGCCAACGAAGGGGTTAAACACCTCTGCCTGGTAGGATGGCGGGCGAGGCTCTCCCTGCGTTTTGTCTCTTGTGCAGCGATTTTGATTCATTCTCGGAGCGTGTGCGGGTGGGAAGCTGGACGTAGAAGTTTTGCCTCTAATTCGAACATTCTCAACTAATAAAACTTTCAGCTGTTATTACCTAGAGATGATACCGATCCCACCCTTCCTCCAAAAGCATGAGAACTTTCCTATCCACTGATGAGAGGGCGGATGTGGAGGAAGGGAGAAGGGATAACTTTAATGAACACGGCTTTTTCTTAACCCTTTAAACATCTCCGTTTCTTTGCTCTTTTCCCAGATTGCTTCTGTTCGATGTATTTTAACAACATACAACGCTTGGGACATGGTGATATCACTAATTTCTTAGTCTCATTTTATACTGCAGGAGAGATCTGCAGATCATTCAGGAGACCTATATGCAACCCAACTACTTAGTCTCAGGTGCAGGGGCTGAGTGAGGTCAGATTTGTTTTCCTTTGAGTGTTTTTCACCTTGCTGGTTAAGTGTGCTTTCTGCGATTACTAATTGAGGTTCCATTTAAAGTGCTATGTCCAGGGAATGTACTTGAGGTTTCCATTCATCAGGTAATGTTTACTTTTAATTTTCGTTTTCTCTCTCCTTTTGTATATTTTAGCTTATCTGGCTCTCCCTGAATGTCCTGCTTTTCTGGAAAACCTTCCTGCTGTACAACCAAGGGCCAGAGTATCACTACCTCCACCAGATGTTGGGGGTAAGTGGGACTTGAGTGATCTGGTGAAATGGATTTAACGTGGGCAGACATTGCTACAGCCCTTGGTCACTTCTTCCATTCATTGAAAAACATTTGTTGTTCATACAGAAATATTTGTTATTTCTCTAAAGTGGTCAAGTTTTTCTTGTTTTATCATTTATGCTTGTCTGGGTTAAAATGATTGACTCTTTTAAGAACTGAAGATAATATTTGCCAGAGTGAAACTGATGAAACTGCCGGACCAGGCTAGCAGTGCTTGAGAAAAGTTGCTACTGCTTGTCAGGCTGCAAAGTGCCCTGAAGGAGCTGCTTGGTCAGGAGGACCAACCAATGACAGGCTGTTAGTTTTTACTAATCAAGACTTCAGCCCTGCCCATAAGCTAATACAGAGGATTTCTGTGTGGTTTTCTTTTATTGCCAGTTCTCATACTTTGTGAGCACAAAGTATGTGTCTAATGCAGCATTCATTCATCAACATTGAGAAGCAGTTAATTCTTAGGAGGTGTCTGAAATCTCTCTTTCTATTGGAAATAACTATTTATTCAACAGTTTATTTATACTGATGATATACCGGGCACTTTACGAATATTTTGTTTAAGACAGGAAACTATTCATTCCATTTTTACACATAGGAAAATATAGGCTAAAGAAGCCTAATGACTTGCTCAAGTCCCTTTGGATGCTTAGTGTCAGAGATAAGATTTGAATGCAGTGCTGTCTGGTCTTTTGCTTTTTCTCATACTACACAAATTTTCTAAATTGCTTTACTGGTCCATCTCAGATACTTATGCCACTGGTTAGTATTATTATTCTTTATTAGTGTTGCCCAACAGAAATGTGAATCATAAGTAATTTCACATTTTCTGGTAGTACATTTAAAAAATAAGAAGCATTAACTTCAGTAATATGTTTTATTTAAAATAATATATCCAAAGTATTATAACAGATTAAAGTATTCAACATGTGGTCAATAGTTAAAAGAATTAATAACATAATTTACATTATATTTTTGCCTATTAATTCCTTTAGATATAGCATGTATTTTAAGCTTCTGTACATCACAATTCAGTCACTAAATTATCATCAGAGATACTTGACCTGCATTTAGATTTCATAAACTTTTACAGACAAAATAGTGGATTCATATACCCAAGTTTTTCCAAACAAATATGATTTTCCCATAACACAAATGACTGTCGGCTTTTAAATTTAAATTAATAAAATTAATAAACTTAAATTCAATTCCTTGGTGGCCCTAGATACATTGTACATACTCAATTGCCACGTATGGCTAGTGGCCACCATTTTGGACAGTATAAGTGTAGGTTCTGGGGGAAGATATTTCTACCTTCATGACCATATGCACTTATCATTCTGCTTTAAAGCAAACACCTAACCACCAATTAGAACAATAAAAAACATCAGGATATGGGTAGTCCTCTTGCTCCCCCTCTCCAAACTTAGAGTTGGTATTGGAGAGGAAGCTATGCGTTCTAGTTATTGGTATGTAACTAAAAAAAAAAATCTCTGAGTTCTCCCTTATCTGGTGGTGGGAGCTTTTGAGAATGAAGGTAAAGATATTTTATTTTCAGAACTGGAGTATCCATTTTTATTACTGGTAGGCTACTGTTCTCAGACCAAAATTAAGGATTAAAAAAATTGCATAAGAACTGACAGGGAAAAAGAAGACAGCAGATGATGGCATATAAAATAATGTCGGGATTAATATGTTTTAGTGGGAGTTTTCATCATGATTGTTCATTCCCAGGCTGGTCTGATCCAGACCTGGAGACAACATGGTCACGGCTGGTTTATGCCTGAGTTAATGTGCTAATCAGACTGTGTACTTTCTAGGAGATGTTTAATTATGACATGCTGTGAGTATTAGAGTCTTAAAATTATCTAAGAAGGAAAAGGGTCTTTTAAGGGAAACCAAAACAACACCCAAATACCCCAACAAACGAACTAAACAATAACTTCCTCCATCATCATATAACAACTTTTTAAAAAATTAAATTTATTGTGGTAACGTTACTTTATAAATAGTAGACTCTATTGATTACTTAAGATGAAATCTGTTTTTGATTTATTTATTTTCAAGGAATAGAAAATGTAGTTGCTTGTACTTTAATAAAAAGTACTAATGTGTTGTGACCAACTCTGAGAAATTTAATTTCTTAAATTTTTTGAAATGTTGGAGCAATTTAACTGAGAATACCATTTATAGGAACCTTCATACTCACGTTCGCCTATTTCTGAGTTGTATTTCTGACATTTTAACAATCAAAAGATATAATTTAATTGATAGAAACATTTTAATTTGATAAGAGAATGTGTTTTGTGGTACCAAATTCAATGTGTCTTAGTTTTATATCTTTTTCCCTTAAAACTAACATTTGTATATGGACTGTTCAATTTTAACCTAGTTATTCTTACGATGCAGTGATAAGAATGTAATTTTTTTTTTTTTTTGCTTTGTCTGGAAATTATTATTTTAGATTTGCTGCCTTTTTTTTTTCTTTTTTTAAACTCTTATTGAGATTCCTATGTTAATTAGAAGAATGTTGTGAGCATTGAGATTTTTTTCTGATCTCACAGTGATAATCTTTCTGAGGTCAATCATTATCCTTTAAGAGATTTAAAATCATTAACTAATTTACCCTCTCCGAGAGTCCTACCATAATTAACATTTGTTTTCAGAGACAGAAATCTGATGTCATGTGCATTTCTTAAGGTTGGAGATTGGAATCTCTAGATGAATGGACCTAGGATTTTAAGTCAGTATTGCTTTCACAGCTAGCCTAGGCAGCTTTAATTCTGCTGAGAAGGAGTATATTTCTCTTGTCAATTTCAGAAAAAAAGACTTGCTCATTAACTTTTTCCTTATTACACAGAATATTGTAGTTTCAATTCAGGGAATGTTTTTAACTAAATGTATTTTTGTTTGTTTTTATTCTTAATATTGTGCTATTTGAAAACAATTTACTCCCTGTTTATTGACAGGTGAAATGGGTTATATTACTTTGATGCAATCGTTTTATTCTTAATCTATCTACAATAAAGACTCATAACTTTTTTTTTTTATGGTGATATTGGTTAACAAAATCCAATAAGTTTCAGGTGTACAATTCAACAGTAAGGCATATATATGTTGCATTGTGTGTTAGTACTCATAGTTAGATTTCTTTCTGTCACCACATTTTTAACCTCTTTTACCCCATCTACCACTCCTCTCCCTCCCTCCCATAACCACTAGTCTATTGTCATGTCCATGAAGACTCATATCATTTTAGATTTAGAAGAAAGCTTTGATATCCTTACTTAGATTTCTTCCTCATTTTCTCAAATAGAAAAAATGAGGTTGAAGTGATTTCCTCACTATCAGCCACTGAATTAGTGGCTTTGTCATCATTCTGGTTTATTGATTCTCTTTTAGTTCAATATTCAGCCTGTTGTAATGAACAACTCATGAACATATGCAAGAACATATTAAACCCTATACTCAATAGACCACTAGCTTTTCATCTTATTTGAAATGATATTTAAAGATATTTAGCAATTTAAGAAGTTAAGAAAAATTTTTAATTCATCCTTAAGATAACATATTTTCAGCAATCCAGTTGTTTTAGATTTGTCTCAGACAAGTTGTTCATGGATTATAAGATTTATTTTTATTTAAATAATTTCTGATTCCACAATATTTTAGCAGAATTTTAGCATTTAATGTTTAACTTCCTTGTTTTATACAGTTAAGTGTTCACTGTATAATTTTTTATCAATTAATTTGAGATTTTCAAATGTGCTTCCTTCATTTCATTATTAGTAATATTAATAATATCAATAGCAAATTGCATTTATCAAGGACTAAATTCCAGGCATTAATCTAAGAGTTTTGCATGGAATAATTTATTTAATCTTGTCATTCATTCTGTGAAATAGATATTTTTAATTTTTCAGCTAAGAAACTGATTTAGAGAAGTTTTGTCATTTGCTAGTGAGTGACAGAAGTAGGACTCAAGCCCAAACATCCTGGTTCTAGAACTTGTGTTCTTAATCATTGTGCTCTTATGCCTCTTTGTAACATTAATATTAGGGTAAATCATATGGAATTGCCATTTTGATGGAACAAAAATCAAGTACAGCCATTTCATGTGGTTCACACAGCTAACAGCTGGAGAAGCCCAATTTGAGCCCACATTTGTCTGATTCCAAAGACTGTACTCTCAATTACTCTGCTTCACCAGGGCAGTTCTGAGATAGGTAGGGCTAGAACTTGAAATTTTCTACCTTTATCCGAGGTTCCTATGTATTCTACCACAGTGACTTTGGGTAGGATGGTTTGTATGCACATATGTTTGTGTGTTTTTGTATCAATAAGTACTCAATCAATAGTAAAATTAAGATTATAGGTATGGATTTTTCTTTAAAAAGTTTTTTTATTATTCCTTGTATTTCTAAATTTGTATTTATTTTTTAATTTAAGTATAGTTGGTATACGATATTAGTTTTATTAGTTTCAAGTATACAACGTAGTGATTTTTATACCTTAAAATGTGATTAACCCAACTAATTCTAGTAATCATCTGTCACTATGCAAACCTATCACAATATTATTGGCTATATTCCCCTTCACTTTTTTCTCCCATCCCCAAACCCCTTCCCATTTGGCAGCCATCACTTTGGTCTCTGTTTCTATGAGTCTGTTTTTGTTGTGTTTATTTGTTTGTTTTGTTTTAGACTCCACATATAAGTGAAACCGTATGGTATTTGTCTTTGTCTGACTTATTTCATTTAGGTTCTCTAGGTTCATCCATGTTGTCTCAAATGGCAAGACTTTATTTTTTTTAATTGCTGTGAAATAATATTCCTGTGTGTGTGTGTGTTGTGTGTGTGTGTGTGTGTGTGTGTGTGTCTATTGATGGACACCTAGCTTGCTTCCATACCTCGGCTATTGTAAATAATGCTGCAGTGAACATAGGGGTACATATATATTTTTGAATT